CTTGACACCAAAATCAAAGGGAAGAAAAGCAAAAATAAGTAAGTGGGACCACATGAAACTAAAACACAGCAAAGAAAACCATCAACAAAATGCAAAGGCAGAAAATATTTGCAAACCACGTATCTGATATGGGGTTGATATCCAAAATATACAAGGAATTTATACAACTCTATAGTAAAAAAAACAACAAACAAATAGCCCAATTAAAAATTGGGCAAAAGACCTAAATAGACCTTTTTTCCAAAGAAGACATACAAATGGCCAAGAGGTACAAGAAAATGTGCTCAACATCATTAATCATCAGGGAACTGCACATCAAAACCATAATGAGATATCACGTCACACCTATTAAAATGTCTGTTACAAAAAGAAAAGAGATAACAAATGCTGGTGAGAATTTGGAGAAAAAGAAAACCCTGTACACTGTCATTGGGAATGTAAGCTGGTATAGTCACTATGGAGAACAGTATGGAGGTTCCTCCAGAAATTAAGAATAGAACTTCCATATGACCCAGCAATCCCAATTCTGGTTGTATATACAAAGGAAATGAAATCATTGTCTGTTTTTTTTTTGAAATTTAAAAAAACATTTATTTTATATTGGAGTATAGTTGATTTACAATGTTGTGTTTCAGGTGTACAGCAAAGTGGTTTTGTTATACATATACATATATCTATTCTTTTTTAGATTCTTTTCCCATATAGGTTATTACAGAGTATTGAGTAGAGTTCCCTGTGCTATACAGTAGGTCCTTGTTGTTTATCTTTTTTTTTTATTGGAGTATAGTTGCTTTACAATGTTGTGTTAGTTTCTGCTGTACAGCAAAGTGAATTAGTTATATATATACATATATCCACTGTTGTATAGATTTCCTTCTCATTAGGTCACCACAAAGCATTGAGTAGAGCTCCCTGTGCTATACAGTAGGTTCTCATTAATTATCTATTTTATATATAGCAGTGTATGTATGTCAATCCAGTCTCCCAATTCATCCCACCCCCCCATCCCCCCTTGGTAACCAGAAGTTTATTTTCTATTCTGTAACTCTCTTTCTGATTTGCCAATAAGTTCATCTGAACCGTTTTTCTAGATTCCACATATAAGCAATATTACACGATGTTTGGCTTTCTCTTTCTGACTTACTTCACTCTGTATGACAATCTCTAGGTCCACCCATGTCACTGCAGATGTCATTATTCATTCCTTTTTATGGCTGAGTAATATTCCATTGTATATATGTACCACATCTTTATCCATTCCTCTGTTGATGGACGTTTAGTTTGCTTGAAATCATTATGTTGATGAGATATTTGTACTCCCATGTTCATTGCAGCATTATACATAATAGCCAAGGTATGGAAACAACCTAAGTGTCTATCAGTGGATGAATGGATCAAGAAAATATGGAATGAATATTATTCAGCCTTAACAAAGAAGGAAATCCTGTCATTTGTGACAACATGGATGAACCAGGAGAGCATTATGCTAAGCAAAATAAGCCAGACAGAGAAATACTACATGGTATCACTTATATGTGGAATCAAAAATAAAGTCAAATTTATTGAAACATTATCAAAAAGTGGTTTCTGGGGGTTGGAGAAAATAGGGAGGGGTTGGTAAAATGGTACAAATTTTCAGTTATAAGAATAATAAGGTCTGAGGATCTAGTTATAATGTGACTATAGTTGATAACACTGTATTGCATAACTGAAATTTACTGAGAGAGTAGAACTTAAATGTTCTCACAAGAAAATAAAAAGGGAAGGAAAGAAGGAAGGAAGAAAGAAGGGAAAAGGAAATATGTGAGGTGATAGGTGCATTAATTAACTCAATGAGAGGAATTCTTTCACAATGTATATCAAGTCATCAGTTGTACACTTTTAATATGTTACAATTTTATTTGTCAATTATACCTCAATAAAGCCAGAAATAAAAAAGAGTTTTCTTCCAGCTCCATGGAAGACAGTGGAGAATTGCTTTCAGGATTCTGAAAATTCTTTTTTTTTTTTTAATATTTATTTATTTATTCTTTTTTGTTTGTTTGTTTAGGCTGTGCCAGGTCTTAGTTGCGGCATGTGGGATCTTTGTTGTGGCGTGCGGGATCTTCATTGCAGAATGTTTAGTTGCAGCATGTGGACTTCTTAGTTGTGGCATGCGAACTCTTAGTTGCGGCATGCATGTGGGATCTAGTTCCCCAACCAGGGATTGAACCCGGGCCCCCTGTACTGGGAGCATGGAGTCTTACCCACTGGACCACAAGGAAAGTCCCAGGATTCTGAAAATTCTTAATTGTTGACCTCAAATTCCGTTTCCAATCAATCATGTGTGAGGGTAGAGTAAAAATATCTTCATACATGCAGGAACTCGAAAGATTGCCTCTCTTGCACTAGTTCTCAGGGAACCATGGGGTATTCTCTACAACAAAGAGAATATAGGAATAAAGAGCAAGGCGTGGAGTCCAAGAAGTAGGGGATGTAACAGAGAAGAAAGAGAAGAGGAGCTTTATGGCCTGTGTCATATTTTGAGAGCGAACACTTCTATGGAAGCAGGACAGGGCTTCAGTAGGGATATTTCTAAGGAGGGGAAAGGGTAGGTGGAAGCACATTGCTCCTGTGTTTGAGCAGAATGAGAAGAAATCTGTCCGTTCTCTTGGAGAGTTCAATAATGAAATAGTAATAGGCACGTAGAAAACTAAGTAAATGAAAGTTAAGACAGTTATTAAAACAAGGAAAACTAGAAGTCGTAAAGAAAGTATAGTAAATTATACTTGGCTCTGATATGATGTTAACCCTGAAGATTAACAACAAAAAATTGTAATATAAATTGAGAAGATGGGGGAAAGGGAAATCTGTTTCCAAGAATAATGGTATAAGAGGGTGGATCCTTCATTTTTCATGCTAGAAAGTCCATAAATCATTTAGAAAAGTGAAAAGTGAAAAATCAGAAAATAGCAGTACACATGTGTTACTTAGAAATATGAAGGTAAATACCAGAAGAAACATCTTAAGGAGCTGAAAGTGATTCTAAGGAGGCAGGCAGCTACTGATTTTCATTATGTCTTGGTAGTCCTATTTGACTTTTAAAATAGGTATGTGTAGGGACTTCCTGGTGGTCCAGTGGGTAAGACCTGGGGCTCCCAGTGCAGGGGGCCCGGGTTCAATCCCTGGTCAGGGAACTAGATCCCGTATGCATGCCGCAACAAAGAAGTCCGCATGCTGCAGACTAAGACCCGGCGTAGCCAAAATAAATAAATTTATTTTTAAATAAAAATATAAAATAGGTACATGTGTTCTTTGATTAAAACATGATTAAAAAGAAAAAGAAGGAAGTTCTGAGAATGGACTTGTCTTGTAGCCAAAGAATACAGACAAATTCCAACCCTTCCCAGACCCTTTTTCTTTTACTTTTATATCTCCTGCCCTCCCAACAGGAACCCCAGGCCTCTGGCCTGTGCAAAATATTTCTGACCTCTCCCAGTTTCTGGTTATAAGTATGTCCTAAATATTGCATGGAGGGAAATGGCATGCCTTTTTCTGTGTCAAAGACAGAAGAATAAATTCAAAGAAATGTTAATTTTGGGGGGGGAAAAAGGGTAGAGGACTATATACTGAACAGAATTCATAAATTTAAGGGTGTGCAAAGAGGGGAGAAAAGCAACTGGTGTGGGGGGGTGCTGGGGAGGGGGTTGGGAAGGGGAACCATAAGTGGCAAATGAGAATTGTGTAGAATACCAAGAAGTCAAGCTTCAAAAAGGAGCAGTGCTCACAAGCTGCAGAGAAGCTGTGTGGATTGGGAAGTTGTTAGTTGGATTTGGCAGTTAGGAAGTTGTTCTTGACCTTTCAGAGAGAGATTACTATAGATCAGTGGTTCTCAACTGGAGGGCAGTTCTCTCCTACCCCCACCCCATGAGACATTTGGTAATGTCTGGAGATACTTTGGATTGTCACACCTGGAGGAGTGCTACTGGCTTCTGATGAGTAGGGTCCAGGGATCAAAAATGCACAGAGTAGCTCCCAGTGACAATGAATTATCTGACCCAACATGTCAGTAGTGCTAAGGTTGAGAAACTCTGCTATAAATTAAGGAAAGGTGAAGAAAGGAACATTTATTGAGCATCTATTTGTTGAGCATTTCTTTGTTCCAAGAATTATAGGAACATGATCTAATTTGAAGGTAGTGATCACGTGTTTTGGGGAAACTACAGAAGGGAAAAAAAGTATAGTAGCTAGCTTGAAAGGGAAGCAAAGTTGAAAGAATAATTGAAATGCTTAGCACAGTGTTTGGCATATATTAAGTACTTAATAAATATTGTTTTTATTATTAATAACATGTTCATTAAGAATCAGTAAGTTCATTTACAGATGTTCATTAAGTGCTAGTTACTATAGGAGAAACAAAAGTGAATGAAATATACACGTATTTGTATGCTTATGTTTCTTATTAGTTTACAAACTCTTTATAACTAGAGTATCTGTTTTACTTATTTCTCTATCCCACATAGAACTAATCTTGCCATAATTAACCTAAATACACATATTTTTGCTTAATAGAAGAAGGCATATTTATGAATTAGCCATTCTTCACAAAAACAGTATATAACATTTAACTCATTGAATTATAGTTAATTCTTTGCCTTTTTTCCTCCCTACTAGACCATAAGCAGCACAAGAGTAGAACAAGTTAGGTTAGCCATCTCTGTAGCATTCAGGACCTAACACCATGCCTGGCACATAATAGTTACCCACTAAAATGTTTGTTAAATAAATGAATGCGATCACAATCACTGTCAGTAGTGTATTTTTTGAATGCTAGCTGTTGACACCCCAGAGGAGGGGGAATATACTATGAAACTATTTATCAGATAATCTTCTGTTTAATGTAAGTCTTCTGTTTAACATATTTTCTTCCACATTTAGAACTTAAAAGCGTTTAATAAGAAAAAGAATAGCTCAGCTGAAACTTCTCTTAAAGTCCTGCTTTGTTTTTCTTATCTCTGCAGTGCCGAATTATCCCAAGGTCGTTACTGGGACGGGCTAGGCTCTCCTCCAGATTCCCCGTCTCCTGGGAGTGATGTGTATTGCAGCAGTGAGCCCAGTGACCCTCAGTATGACCAGAGTCTCCTGGAGAACTTGTTTTACACAGCACCCGTAAGTCACTGAATCTGAAACTTTAGGAATTGGAGAACAAGAGTATTAATAATATTAGTGAGTGTAGGCATGTTACCACTTGCCAGACAGAAAGCTATCCATTTTACATACCTTATTTAATTATAATCACAATCTGAAGAGGAGAGTATTATCCTCGTTTTACAGATGAGGAGATAAGCCTACTAAGATTAATTATTTTGTCCAAGGACACATCATAGCAAGTAAGTGTTAGAGCCAGGATTCAAATTCAAGTTTACCCGAGTCCAAAGCCTATAATCTTAATATATTATGTGGCTTCCTAAGAGCTCTTTCAAGGAAGAGCTAATGTAGGTATACCCTCAGAACCACCCTTGACTGGTATCTTTTCAGATACAGATGTTCCAGAAACACCTCTACTCATGGTGGACAAATACCTCTACTGACCCTTAAGACAGAACATTCTCTTTTCAGGCAGTTTTAGCATTTTCAAAGTTCTTTCTTATGTCAAGCCGTATGTTCTATTCATTGGTTTAGCATCTTCTAGAGTGTATACAAAATGAGTTCATTCACTGTTCCACAAATAATCATATTTGTGAAGATTGCTGTCATATTCCCTATTTTCTTTTTCTCCAGGTCAGCAAAGATACCTGAAATACAGTGTAGTTTATACCAGCTCAGTGGAAAAGCAATGAGGGTGACCAGGGTGCAGAAGAAGCAGGGAGGACTTTTACATGAGATTGTCAGGAAGGAGCATCATGAGGGATAAGGGATTTTAACTGAGACTTGAAAAGTAGTGTTCAGAGAGATAAACGATATGAAATAGGAATAGAAAGAATGACCTGTTTAGAGAAGCAGTTTGTGTACTACAAGGCATCTAATTTGACTGGGTAAGAATTCGTGTGGAAGAGACATTGACAAGGCAGGCTAGCGCATTATAAGCAGTCTGTAACAGCGTTTGAATGTCGAGTGAGGAGGAAATGACATGACTGAAATAGTGTTCTAGGAATGTTAAACTGGCAGTGATGTAGGAGGTCAACTGTGGGGAGAATAATGGGAGCAGATAGGAAGCCATTGGGTTATTGGAGGTGTGAGACAGAGAGAGAGAGAGAGAGAGAGAGAGAGAGGGCATGCCAGAATGAGAGTGGCAGCAGTGGGATTGGAAAGGAGGAGATGGACTTAAAAGACACTGTGAATTGTTAGGATTTAATGACTTTCTACCTTAAAAGTCATCACTGATACTGTGTTACCTGTAGGAGAAAAGAGAAAGGGAACTTACATTTAGTACACATTTTCTGTGTGCCAGGGAATTTACGTTACCTGTTATTTATTAAGTACTGTGCCAAATGTTTTAAGTTCATTATTTCATTTAATTCTTTTACTAGCCCCATGAGATAGTGTTATCCTTTTACATATCATGAAATAAAAGCTTAGAGACATTAATTACTAGTAGTTAGGCAGAACTAGAATTCTTACCCTAGTCTGTCTGGCAAAAAGCCCATGTTGTTCCCACTAGACCACACCGTCTCCTAAGTCTTGAGCATAGCATTAGAATCTGATCTTGACTTGACCTCCCTAACCTCATCTCCCACTTTTGCCCTGTAACCACTGGAGACTCCAGTCATACTGATTGTCTCACAGTCTAGCTTTTTCCATCCCCATATCTCTTGCTCATACTGGTCCTTCTACTTGTTGAAGGATGTTGAAATGCCCTTATACATCTGGTAAACTTCTCTTCATTCTTTAAAAATCAACTCATCACCTCTATGAAGAAACCATCCCAGACTCCTCTAAGCAGAGTTTGTTGCCTGAATGTCCACAATATCCTGCACATACCTCTCTTACAGCCCTTATGTTGTATGATACAGTTCCTCATGAACAAAAACATGTCTTCATTATCTTTTTATTACCTGTAAAACAAAGGCCTGATAGAATTTTGAGTACTCAGTGAATTCTTAGTGAATAAACGAATGAATGTGTGAATGGTACTAAGTAATCCCCCATGCTATCTGAACAAAATAATTTTAGAAAATGTTTGTTTACTGGAAGAAGGAGTGAACCAATTGGCCTTGAGGCACTGGGAAGACCAAGGAGTTAGAATGCTCATGTCCTTCCCTGGGGTCAGTGTTTAATGTTCTTAATATTGAATAACATCCACAGCTTAGAAATTCAGCATTACCTTGTGGTTTTGTTTCCTGAAATTATGAGCTTTTGAACAACCTGGTTATATTTACTCTAATTTTCTTCAGGCTGTGAACCCATCTAGCTTTTGATCACCTTGTCAAAACCATTTTTAGAAGCTGCCACTTAACAAAGAAAAACTTAAGTGCAAAAAGCTTTGTAATTTCACCTTGGAAAAGTTACATTGCCTCCTAGAAGGACATTCTGATCATGCCTATTTAACTATTAATTTGTTACCCTTATGACAGGTCAATACGTTATATACCCTGAGATGCTGAGAAAAGGGAGTTGGAGGTGATAAGCTTAAAACTACTTTGGATTGGTCTCCTGCATTTATAACAAAAAGATTTTTTTTTTAATTGGAGCCAAATAACTGTAACGCTGTCTTCTTATTTTGCATTTGTGTTAGAGCTGATTAGTCAATTTCAGCTGCCTTTTCTCACGATAAAATTACCGGGGGTTTACCCACTGGTTCTGCCATTACGAAAATTTGTGACATATAATAAACAGTTCATCTTAGCAAGATTAAAAGCAGAATGAATCATTAGGAGTATAGAGTGCTGAAAAAAAGTAGAATCTTTAGGGCTTCCCTGGTGGCACAGTGGTTGAGAGTCCGCCTGCCGATGCAGGGGACACGGGTTCGTGCCCCGGTCTGGGAAGATCTCACATGCTGCAGAGCAGCTAGGCCCGTGAGCCATGGCCGCTGAGCCTGCGTGTCCGGAGCCTGTGCTCCGTAACGGGAGAGGCCACAACAGTGAGAGGCCCGTGTACCGAAAAAAAAAAATTGAGATGGGGACACCTTACAGGAATGTACTAAGGATTAGAAATACACATGCAGCATTTAACATAGTACCAGATACATAGAAGGCAGTCAGTAAATAGTGGTTGTTATTACTTTTGAGGATTCAAAAGAAGAATCTATTTTCATTTATTTTCTTTGAACTTGTAGGTTATTTTTGTGAACTTCATATTATTTTTATATAGCCAGGAGAAACAGGATTATCTTCCTGGTGTCAGTTATCTCTTTTGATTACTACTTTTAGAGAAATGTTTTCATTACCACTATCCCCAAAGCAGTTATCTTTTAGTGCCTCTCTTTTTGTTTCTTCCCCCCATAGAAATCTGATACCAGTGTCAGTGATGTCTTCAGTGGAGATGATGATGTTGTCCCTTCTAAAAAAATGAGCCAGTCAAAAGCTCTTGCCAGATCTTCTAAGGTTCTAGAGTCAAATGATCATAAGTTGAAGAAGAAGGCGGTGGGCAAGAAAAATAGGTGAGCCTCTTTATGAATGCTTGTTTAGAGTCAAAAGCAAAGGAAGATTATTTTCACAAGATCTCTTCAAGTGAAATCACCTGTGTTTGCCAATACTGTCAGACTGGTTGAGTTACAGTAACTCATTAAGTATTGCAGTCCTTAAACATGCAATAACATGAAAAGATGGATGTGATAAAATAATTAAGGGAGAAAGCAGAATTCTAAGTTGTATGTGTGCTCTGTTACACTTAATGTAGAAAATATGCATAAAGAAAGCAAATGAAAAGGAATACACAAAAGTGATGATAGTAGTTATATTAAAGTAGTGAATAACTGAAGTAAAGTCTGTATCCCTTGTTGAAAACCTAATTCTGTTATATCAGTTTCTGTACTTGTGTGGAGATAATAAGCCTTTGGATTACAAGAATGTTTTTACTTTTTTTTTCTTTTGGCTGCATGGGTCTTAGTTGTGGCACACGGGATCTTTGTTGCCGCCTGTGGGATCTTTGTTGTGGGATCTTTAGTTGCAGCATGCAGCATCTAGTTCCCTGACCAGGGATCAAATGCGGTCCCCCTGCATTGGGAGCGTGGAGTCTTAACCACTGGACCACCAGGGAAGTCCCTGTTTTTACATTTTTTGAGATTTCTTTCATGTAGATTAGGACCAGAATTATGATGATTAAAGCCATTTCCCAATCTTTGATAACTTGTGAATTAAGATGCCTGCTGCCTTTCCTCCTTCCTCCTCTTGCCTGTACCAACTAGATCGTTTCATATTTGGCTTCTTACCATCTGCCTCACTGTCTATATGAACTCCTTTCAGAAACTTGATTGAACAACAGATGCTATCAGAAACTCCAGAAGATGCCCAAGTGATGACACTAAGTGTGGATAGACTGGCCCTTCTGGGTAGAACACATTCAGTCAGAATCATCATCGAAACAATGGGAGTTCCTCCAGATAGTCTCCAGGAGACCCCTGGCAAAAAAAGCTTTCCTGGGAGACTACCTAAGCTGACAACAAAAAAGCGGTATGTCTCTAACATGGGAAAACTAAATTTGACATTTCTGGAAAGTGTGTCTGGTAGTAATAATAAATAATTACATAGTACTTTATGATTTGTAAAGTGCTTTCATATGCTTCATTCAATCAACAAAAATGTACTGAATCCCCCACTAGGTCCCAAGCATTAAAAGTATGAGAATAAAGAAAATTAAGACCCAGGCTCCATTCTTCCATGCCTTACAGTCAACAGGAGAGAGAAACATTTAAATGGCTGTCTCTTGGGTTGGCCAAAAAGTTCGTTCGGGTTTTTGTAAGATGTTACAGAAAAGCCCGAACAAACTCTTAGGCCAACCCAATATGATAGGGCTTTAGGGGCCAAAAGAGATGTTTTATATGAAAAGTGCTGTGGGAACGCAAGACTGGTAAAGGCTTTGAAAAGAGCAGGTCGGTCCTCTGAGGACCTGAGGTTCTAAAAATAGGGCCTTGAAAGATATGTAGGATTTATCAGAGAGAAAATACGTTTATTATTTGGTTTGTTTTTTAATTACTTTTCTTGTTTCGACTTTTTAGCACCTTCTTTGTGGAATATCACTTTCCTATGGGCTTTTCCAAAAATGGATTGACAAAGACAGCTTTGATCACTGAGGTGGTTCGACTCGCATCCAGTAAAATTACAGATGGAAGTAAGAGAGAACTTGATTTCTGCTCCTTAGATATTTTGGCTTTGGAAGAATTTTTGAATCCCTAATTATTCATATACTCCTGTATTATCATAGAATCTTAGAGGCAGAAAGAATTTTGAAGTGAATCTAATTCCTTTACTTTACAAGTGAGGAAACTGGTCCAGAGGTGCTATGAGTATTCTGATGCAAGGCAGAAAGGCAGTGACATAGCTGAAACTGTAACTCAGAACTCCTGATGCTTAGATCATGTTCTTTCAACTATTGACATTTTCTTTTCTTCCCTTTTTAAAAATAGCTTTATCAAGGTATAACTCACATACCATACAATTCACCCATTTGAAGTATACAACTCAATGATTTTTAATGTATTCATAGGTTGTATAACCATCACCACAATCTAATTTTAGAACATTTTCATCCCCCCTAAAAGAAATCCCATACTTATTAGCATTCTTTCCTCATTTCTCTCTTTGCCCCCTTTCACTAAGCAGCTACTAATCTACTTTCTGTCTCTCTCAATTTTCCCATCCTGGACATTTCATATAAATGGAATCATATAATATGTGATATTTGTGACTGGCTTTTTGGACTTACTGTAATATTTTCAACTTTTAATATTTAAGTTTTCAATATTTCGCTATTAAAGACAGTGCTTCAGTGAATAATCTTGCACATGTATCATTTCTCATTTGATGTGAGTATATCCAGCACAAGCATTTAAAATAAATACTTATTTACCCTTAAAAACAGCACCTAAATAATTTAATATACTCTTTTACTAGAGTACATTGTTTCACTTTCCCCATCACCATAAGGAAGAATTAGGGCATTTAAAATTTTTCATATTTTTATTTTCTGTATGCTTAAATTATCGATAGCAACAGAAGGTGCTCTGGAGGTTTGTTAAAAGCATTCGAGAATGTATACTTGATTCTGCTGGCTGAAGTCAGTCAGTGTGTTTGAGGAGCTTTAATGCAATTAAACTGTTTTTATCAAACCCCAATACAAAGAAAAATGTTGGATTCTTTTCTCAGGTCTTCCCCATTTACCTCCTTCTACCTACAGGACATTTATGAGTTCCTTAAAACTTCTCTGAGCCTCAGATTCCCCATCTGTAAAATGGAGGTACAGCAAGGACAAGCACGGTTCTGATATGCACGAGTTTCAGTTAACATAGTATCTACAAAGCAAGAACTGCCTGTATTACACAGGGGCTTAATGGACATTCAAATGGGATAATGAATGTAAAAGCATTAAACTCTAAAGTTGTATGTAACTAATACTAGCTCACATTTATTGGGCACTAAATTATGTGTCAAGAACTCTACTCAGTGTTTTATATATATTAATCATGTAATCTTTTAAAACACATACACACACACACACACAGATGAAGAAAGAGGAAGCTGAGGCATATATCAGTTAAGTAACTTGTCTAAGATAACACAACTGGTTTATGGTAGAACTAGAATTTGAACTAGAACATTTTTGATTCCAAATCATTGTGCTTTTCATCTATATTGCTTCTCATGCATTATTATTATTATTATTATTATTATTATTGGCCACAGCGACTGAGTTCTCCCTTTGTCCTTCTGGGAAAGATAGTATGGGACATGTGGAATAAGCATCAAGCCAGGAATTGGAAGAGTTCTAGTTCTGGTTATACCACACACTTAATCGTGTGACCCTAGACACAATGACTTTTCATCTCTGGGCCTTTCTTAACAATATAATATGGAATGGACAAGTTATTTTCAGGATCCCTTCCAGCACTTTAAAAAAGTCTGCTTTGGCATATTGTTAGCAATTTATTTACATGAATTTCTTCTTCCATTATTGCCTTAACTTATTTTTTAAAAAATGAGCTTAAGAACAGAGAATTATATGACAAATACAATAATATAGTACCAAAACATACTTAAGTAATAAGGAGAAATCTGAGTAACACCAGGTTGAAATACAGTTCTGTTTGTACATAAAAGATTTTATAGTGTTTTAAAGTCCTTTTTTATGTTACCTCAGTTGATCCTCTCAGCACACCACTGAGGTGTAGGTGTTGTCTTACTTCTCTTTCCGTGGTGGGATAAGCAGGTAAACTGGTCTAGTGGGTGTGCGCTTGTTGGGCCCAGACCTTTTGTTAACAGTTCCTGTGGATGGATCCAGATAGCAAGACCTAGATCCTGTCCATGAGTACCTAAAGAAATAAAAAGAGTCAAGAAGTAAGATGGCAAGGATAGAGATCAGTAGGTCAAATGGGCAGTTTGAATGAATATCAGAGATAGTGGATTCTCTGTAACTGGGCCTTTTTGCGTGGGTTCTTCAGATCCATTTTAAGGGTCTAGAAGTGAATGGACTGGAAGATTATTTTACAGGTGATAAATTGTGGCTGAAATGGTTCATTAGTAAGTAACAGAACTTATTCATATCAAATGATTCTAGCCCCAAATTCCTTTTTTTTTTAAACCTGTTAAATCCACATAGCAGTGAGCACAGACTCAGATACTACCATCACTTTATCCCATTTACACTTGCTATTACAGCAGAAACCCCTTCCTTTCCATCTATGAAAAGACAGACTCCGTTCTGCCTAATACTGCAAACTAAGATCAGTACTTAGAACCTTGTATAAGTGTGACAGGAGAAGTCCCCTAGTCTTCAGCCAGAAAATAAACTCATTTTCATTATTACAGTTTTTGATTCGGTTCTTCTCTTCATTTATCCCTCATTGTCCCACATCCAGCCAGCCCCCTTCTTTCATTACATTACCTATCAACTTGTCTTTTAAAACACTGGTCATACCTTACACCCAGTGAAGTGTATGGTATGTCTCTTTACACATCCTGTGCTCCTATGCTTGACATTCATTTCTCATAGCAAAGCAGAGCAACATAGCCCTGCTTATCTTCTCTGTGCTGTATCCAGGATTTTCTCTCTGTCTCTGTTCCTTCAGTCCTAATAACCCTAACACTTTTGTGAAATTACACTGACTGGATTCCTGAAAGAGATCTTAGATTTGAAAGGGAGGTGGGTGGTGTCAAGGCATGGATTGATGAGATGGCTCTAGTTGGGTGGTGTGACATGTGCTTATGTGTCTGGTTCTCCTTACAGTGGTGAAATTCCAGCAGAGATTTGTGTTTCCGGTACAGTTTGGTGGCCCAATGATAGAACACTGGTGGAATTCGAATCTTACTTTCCAAATTTACACAAAGAAAACCCCACAGTTAAAGGTACTTCAAGTGATTTTTGACCTTTGCCTTACCATTTATTCACACTAGGGATTTGGAGCATACTTAAAATTATATTCCTACCTAAACTAGGAAATTCTCCAGGCTCAAACGATATTAATACTTATGATTGTTGTTTATTATTATAATTTTAAATTTCTAATTGATATTTGTTATAGGCTAGATATTATGCTAAAGGCTCTATGTGAACAACACTATCAAATTTAATGATTAAAACAGTTTGTGAATTAGATACCTTATTATCTTCAATCTACAGATGAAAAAAACCAAGATTTAGTGAGGTAACTTGTCTAAGATCACCCAAGCTAATAAAAGACAAAGCCAGGACTCTATCCCGAGTCTTTAGTTCCTAAGTTCTTAACCTCTTGACTGTGCTCCCTGCTATGGAGGGTTGTTTGAATTGATACAGGATAATAGCCTTAATTTGAGGCTCTGCTTTCTTTTTTCAGACAGAATACATAAGTTATCCATCCCATATCCAAAGTAATATAATGTGGGTAGCAGTTTTATCAGCTAATTCCAAGTTTATAAAATCCACTTGCAACTGGTACATGAGCAGTTTTTACTTCCTTTAATTAAAAGAGTAGCTTTTATAATCTTTGACTTCCTCTTTGGTATGGATAGTATGAGGAATGCATCTTGTTTTCTTTTTGTTTATATTTTCAGGAGATCTAAATAATACAAGTTCATTTTGGAAAATATAGCAAAATAGAAGGAAAAAACATAAAGAAAAAACAAAAAATAGAAGGAAAAACATAATTTCACAACCTCAAGACAACCTCTATAAGCATTTCAGTATATTTGCATTGAATCACGTAGTTAAGGCTTCTTTCTAATTATAAAAGAATTATACATGTTTTTAATAGAAAAATATTTTTAAAACACAAAATCACCTATAATCTCATCACCAATAAATATTGTTAATATTTATGTGTATCTTTTTCAAATGAATACATTATATATGTAAATCTTTGACAGTATTAGGATAATTTTATATGCAATTTTTATCCTGCTTTTTAAAAATTTAACATTGTCTTGAGGATTTTTATTCATTTTTTTCAAAAATGTAAATCTTTTCCATGTAATTTTATAAATATGTGAAGGTTTACTATATATAATTTAATACCCTATTTCTAATAAACATAACGAATATTGTTCATATTATTTCAAATTTTAGTAAACATCATTTTAATAGCTATATATTATTCCATTCTAGAAATGTGCTATAATTAATAATTCCTGATTTTGAACATAAAAATCTCATTGTTAACTTTTAAAATATACATTGTATATAAGCTTCTTATGTATTATTTACTATTTCTTCAGTATAAATTTCCAGAAGTGAAATTACTGGGCCAAAGAGTATGAATATTAAAAGCTTTTTATATTTGTTGCTAAATTTCCTGTCCAGAAGTATGTTGCCAGTTTATATTCCCAACTTCAGGCATATGACAGCCCCTGTTTCTCCATAACCTTGTTAGCATCGGGCATGTTTTATAATTTTCCCAGCTTTAATGGCAAACATTTGCATCATCTTAATTGCACTTTTTATTTTTAAGCATGAATTTGAACATTTTTTGTAAGAACTAACTCTTAAAAATAGAAAAAGATAATCTTCTGACCTCTTTGTGACTCATGAAACCCTCTCTAATCTTCCAGGAAGAATTGGTAAAACCCAGAAGGGAGACCAAAATGACAGAATATGGGCTCCCACTTAGAGTTCCCTCAGTCAAATAATTAAGCTACTGACTTCATAAAGCATGGATTCCTTTATAAGTCATCATATGTTGTCACTTCAATTAAAGTCCCCTGTGGCTTCTCTTTACTTTAACTTAAACTTTTTCTTTCCTTCTTTTCTCAGCCTGAAGTCATTGGGTCTGCATCACTACCTTTGAGAGCTGTCATTCAATCTGAGCTGCTTTCTTTCAGTGACCAGCTTGCAGTGCAACAGGAAAATGGTCAGACTCCACTTGGCCCCCTCAAGGTATGTAGATACACATTCAGGTAGTCAGGTATTTATGGAGCATGTGTTACTGGCTGGCCGTGAGATTATAGCAGTGAACAAGAAAATCAGCATCTTTGCTCTTGCAGCTTATATTAAAACAGAACAACAAAAGTGCTAGGAAGGGGGCTTCCCTGGTGGCTCTGTGGTTGGGAATCCGCCTGTCAATGCAGGAGACAAGGGTTCAAGCCCTGGTCCCAGAGGATCCCACAAGCCGTGGAGCAACTAGGCCCGTGTGCCACAGCTGCTGAGCCTGCGCTCTAGAGCCCGTGAACCACAACTGCTGAGCCTGCGTGCCATGGCTACTGAGGCCCATGCACATAGAGCCCGTGCTCCGCAACAAGAGAAGCCACCGTAATGAGAGGCCTGAGCACCGTAACAAGGAGTAGCCCCCATTTGCCGCAACTGGAGAGAGCCCACACACAGCGATGAAGACCCAGTGCAGCCAAAAATAAAATTAAATAAATAAATAAATAAATTTATTTCACGTGTATAATTTTAAAAAAAACTGCTGCAAAGGAACTAAATGATACAATGTGACAGTAAGTACCTGGGAGGAAGTAGGAGATGGGAAGGTGTCTCTAAGGAGGTGACATTTAAGGTGAGATTTGAAGAATGAGAGGAAGAGGCCACCAAGTAAAAAGCACAGGAAAGATCGTTCCAGAGAAAAGAATGGCACATGCAAAGGCCCTAAAGTGAGAATGGGCTTCACTTCATCAAGGGGCAGAATGTTGCCACAGGATAGTGAGCCAAAAGGGAGATTGGACAGGCAGGCAGGAGCCATGTCGCTCAGAGCTTTGTAGGTCAGAGTAAAGGGTTTAGCTTTTATCCTAAGAGCCAAGAAAGGACATTGAAGCATCGAAGTGACATCTGGTTTACATTTTAAAAGATTACTGGGTAGAGAATATTGTAGGGTGCAGGAGGGAAAATGTTGCGTTCATCCAGAAAAGAAATGATTGATAGTTTGTACTAGAGTAGTGGCAGTGAACAAGGAGAGAAGTGGCTGAGTTTGTGTGTGGTGGGATGAATGCTATGTGTAATTCATCGGAGAGAGGGTTCTGTCCTTTATTCAGAAGCATCATTTTCTTAGGTGGAAGAATTTTTTGTTTTTTAGAGCTTGCCCTAATCATTTTCTTTTAATTGAAGTATAGTTGATGTACAATATTATATAAGTTACAGGTGTACAATACAGTGATTCACAATTTTTAAACATTATCTCCATTTATAGTTATAAAATATTGGCTATATTCCCTGTGTTGTACAGTGTATCTTTGTTGCATATTTTATACATAATAGTTTATATCTCTTAATCTGCTACTTCTGTATTGCTCCTTCCCAATTCCCTCTCCCCACTGGTAACCACTAAGTAGTTCTGTATATCTGTGAGTGTGTTTCTTTTTTGGTACATTCACTAGTTTGTTTTATTTTTAGAGTCCATGTATAAGTGATACAGCATTTGTCTTTCTCTGTCTGACTTGTTTCACTTAGCATAATACCTGTAAGTCCATCCATGTTGTTGCAAATGGCAAAACTTTTATTCTTTTTTATGACTGAATAGTATTGCATTGTATATGTACAATGTCATCTTTATTCATTCATCTGTTGATGGACACTTAGGTTTCTTCCATATCTTGGCAGTTGTAAATAATGCTGGTATCATTGGGGTGCATATATCTTTTTGAATTAGTGTTTTTGTTTCTTTCATATATATACCCAGGAGTGGAATTGCTCATTCATATGGTAGTTCTATTTTTAGTTTTTTGGGAAACCTCCATACTGTTTTTCACAGTGACTGCACCAATTTACATTCCCGTTAGGTGGAAGAATTTGAATGTGTGGCTTCACTATAGCTTTGTCCTGTTGTACTGGCGAGCTTTTGAAATCATCACAGCCATACATAAAACATTTCCATGACTCCTCATCACCCAGAGGATAAAATACAGGGCATACCATATGACCCCACCTGACCACTGCAGCTTTCTCTGTTCCAGCTTCCCTACCAATAGCCATGTCAAACTATGTAAAGAATCGCTAAAGTATTGTGCTGGGTTATGCATCCATGCTTTTGTTCTTGATTTTCATGCTGCTTCCTCTTCTTGGAAGCCCTCTCTGCCCTCTTCCTGGCCTTCTTAGTAATAGATACCATTTAATTTTAAAGACTTGTTTGACTACCATTGCAAAAAATTAACATCACATTATTCTTCCACTACCAAAGTTTTATTTTTTGCTTTCCTAGTTCATTCTAGACTGCAAGGTTTATAATCAGAAAGGGGTAATAAATAGAGTTGGTGGAGTAGAAATTGTTTCTGTCCTGGCTTTGTTGAGAGAAGCACTGTTCTAAATAGATTGCTGTCTATATTCAATAGAGCAAAAGAACTTTGCTGTGGGTTTTAAATAAAAGGAGCTGCAAGTCCCCTTTATCTCTAGTAATTCAGCCTCGTAATAGTGACCACTTTCATTCTTCATCATTTATCCCACATCCTTTTTTACTTTTTAACATTTTAAACTTTTAAAAATAACTTCAAACTTAAAGAAAAATTGCAAAAATAGTACAAAGAACTCATATACCCTTTACCTGGACTCAGCAATTATTTGTCGTATTTGCTTTATAATTATCTACCTCTTCTGTCTCTTTCTCTCTCTCTTTTTGTCCCCCTCCCCACTCTCTCTCTATACACATACACACACAATTTCTTTCTGAACTATTTGAGAATATGTTACAGACATTAAACCTCTTTCTCCCTAATTTCTTGTGTGTATTTTCTAAGAACAAAGGCAACATTGTACATAATGCTGTACAGTTATAAAGATCAATTTAACAGCAGTAGTATATTCTGTCTGTAGTCCATACTCAGATTTCACCAACTATGCCAATACTTCCCTTTGTAGCATTTTTTTTCCAGTCCAGGATCATGCATTGCGTTTATTTATTTTAATGGATTAAATTTATTTTATTACCTTTATGCATATGATATGTGATAGAGCTAAAGATCATAGGGTAGGGCTTCCCTGGTGGCGCAGTGGTTGAGAGTCCGCCTGCCGATACAGGGGACATGGGTTTGTGCCCCGGTCCAGGAAGATCACACCTGCCGCGGAGTGGCTGAGCCCGTGAGCCATGGCCACTGAGCCTGTGCGTCTGGATCCTGTGCTCCGCTACGGGAGAGGTCACAACAGTGAGAGGCCCGTGTACCGCAAAAAAAAAAAAAAAAAAAAAAAAAAAAGATCACAGGGTAGCTAATTCTGAAGAAGGGATGAACCTTTAAACAATTAATTAACCTCAATTTACATAATGGTCTTATTATTTGCATAGCTAATGGTAGGGTTTGATTATTGGCCATTAACAGTCATTAATAAGTGAAAGTGTGTCAGAAATACTACACGGGTTTGTATCTTAGACTCAAGAAGCAAACACCCATTGCATTTAAATGTCGTCTCTCTCTAATCTCCTTTAGCCTAGAACAGTTCTGCCGCCCTTCTTTGTCTTTTAGTACTTTGATATTTTTGAAAAGTATGGCCAGTTACTTTGTAGAATGTCCTCCATTTGGGGTTTATCTGAATCACTTATTACTATGATATTTGAAAGAATATGATTTCTAACTTCACCATTAACTCCATCATTCCCTGTGCATTTATTAATTGGCATTCTACTACATTAGAAGAGTTGTCCCTTCTCCCTTGCTTATTTATATTGGTATGGACTCATGGATTCTTATGTTATTCAAAAGGTTATAATCCACTAGTAGTATTATTCATTTTGAAACTCAGCTTGTCCTGGATTTGTCCAGAGGGAGCCCCTTCAACTGGATTCTGTGTCCTTTAAATATGTCTCCATTCTCTTCTGAGCACTTACTTATTTATGGCACAAGATGATGTTTTAGGCTCATCTTGTATTATTAATAAATCATCTGCCTAGCTTTTCTTAGTCCTGGTAAGGTGATGTATGTGCAGTCTATTAGTGTTCCTACTATTGTGGTATTTGAGGATGAATTAATTTATATCCTAACAATCTGATGCTGCTCCTAGCTCCAAAATTCTGTTTCTGATTCTAGAAAATATTCCTATTAACTCTCTTCCTTTTATGTTCTATAGGTAACTGTGGAGCTTGTTACAGATAACAAGGATTTCGCTGATGTCAATACAAAGTTAAGTAGCAACACCCAACATAGCCCACTTTGTGCTCTTACAAGTCCAGATAAGACACTGCCAGAACCTAGTCAACATGTTACCTGTACCAAAAATCCACAGAACCTCAATCAAATTCATGAAGAAACTGTAAAGAAAACACAGAATTTGGTGCTCCCCATCCGAAAGTCACCAAGCCCTGTTGTACCAAGTCCTTCAACCTTCACGGCTGTGCCAGCCTCTCATGATTTGATAAATCAGATAAATGTGTCAACAAAAGAAAGTGCTTTGCTGTTGCATGTGCTACTGATGGTGCCAGATGGGAAAGATTTCATTACTGGAGAATCTGAGAAACAACCATCATGCAATGTTTATTTAAATTGCAAGCTCTTCAGCACAGAAGAAGTCACCAGATCTGTCATTGCATGGGGCACAACAAAACCAGTCTTTAACTTTTCTCAGGTAACTTTGTACATGTCTTAACATTCCATATGCATTAAGGATGAAGGCAGGAGTTGGGGAGGGGACAGAAGTATGTTTCCCAAATCATAATTCCATTGTAAAAAACAACGAGAATTTTCAGACTGGAGGTGCTTTTATAATTATCTGGTATGCAGATCCAATCCCACTATTGTATGGGAAGAGGAAAAGACGTTGCCAACATTTTAAAACTTTTTGTGTGTCTATTTCTTTCTATTCTATCTCAGTTGATATGGTTTCCCACTGTTTCTTTTGCCTGAATTCTGAGTTCTGTTCCTTTCTGCTTCCTCTAGGGCTTTGATCAGTTGAACTTCCTTCTTTCGTTTCTGTTTCTCCAATCTCTCCTTCTTTATTTTATTTATTTATTTTTCCTCACTCTCATTTATTCCTCCACTGATTTCAGTACTCATCTTACTGGATTTCTCAGTAGAATTTGATGCTATCGCTTAAATTGTTTCCTTTCTTGACTTTCGTAACTCTCTCCTCTTATTTTCTTCCTGACTCAAGAACTGTTTTTTTTTTTTCAGTCATTGGGCCAGTAGGAAAACTTGGAAAAGAGTCGTGATCCCAGTACTTCTTCCTCTCTCCTACTTTTAAATATTAGTGTTCCTATTCATTACTCTATCCTTGGCATTCTTCCAAACCAACCCTCTTTTCCCCATGGTCGCCACATCTACTCCCATAGCTTCAGTTGTGTGAAGGTGACTTCGAAATCCACACTTCTTTCAGGCCAGGCATTTCGTGTAGTTTCAGATCTCTGTGTCTAACTGCCTGTTGGTCATCACCACCTGGATATCTCAAAAACACTTTCCTCTTGGCACCTAACACATCACCTGGCAAATTGCAGGTATCCAATAAAGATGTGTAAATGGAAGAAGAAATTCAGATGTATTCAAATCTGAATTTATTATTCCCTCCAAATCTGTTCCTCCTCCTCCTGTCTGCCCTAATTCATATTACAATTTACTCAGAAACCCAAGCAGAACCTAAAAGTTGTCCTTGAGTCTTTCTTACATAAAGATTCACCAAATCCAGTAGATGTTGCAAACTTAATTATCTCTGGAATAAATTCTCTTATCTCCACTCCATTGCCACCGCTTTCATTCAGACCCTTACTCTCATTCCACCTAGCCTTCAGACTGTCCTGTTTCTTGTCTCTCCCTGTCCATTTCTTCCTCTGTGCACCAACAGGAATGATCTTTCTAAAACACTAACCTGAATATTTTACTCTCCTGCTGAAAGCCTTTCGGTGATTACCCGTAGCCTTCAGGATAGAATCTAAGTTTGGACTGCAAGACCCTTTAAGACTACCTATACTTCTCCAGTCTCGACTCAGGCCACTCTTCACACTAGATAGTCCAGCTGTGCTCAGCTACTTGCATTTCCTGAATACCCTCTTTTCCTACCTGTGTCCCAGAAGCCCTATCTATATGAGTTTTGTCCTCAGAGAATTCATGCCATTTTGTATTTGGCCTTTATGTGTTTGTCTCTAACACAAGACTGTGGCTTTAGACTGAGGATAACAGAGTGGGTTTTGTTTTGACGTCTTCAGCTCCTAGCACTGTGCTTGGCACACAGATAGGCTTTAGTAAATGCTTGTTGAATAAAAGTATAAATTAATACTTTGTCTCAGATGTGGAGTTTTGTTTTGTTTTTTTTTCTGGCTGTTCCTCTCCCCAGGTGATTCCTGTCTCTCTGTCTTCCAAATGCCTGGAAAGGCTTAAGAACAATGTGATGGTAATTGAAACTTGGAACAAGGTGCGGAGCCCAGGACAGGACAAGCTGCTCGGGCTGGTGAAACTCCCCCTCCATCAGTTTTACATGTCATTCAAGTAAATAGGACCTTTTGAAGTATTCTTTTTTTACATCTTTAACTTTGTATGAACCGAAGAGGAATATTTGTGGTTTGCAAACATGAACAACCCAATAATTCCTTGGAGGACTTTTCTCAATTTCACCACAGTTGCTACTCTTTCTCCTACGTTATAGCAGTATTACAGATACTGCTTTCCATGTTTTAGGCCCTAAGCTAAGAACCTTATATACATCAAGTCATTTTAATCCCCACAACAGTCCTTCATGAGGCAGATAAATTTTATTTCCCCTATTTTACACATGAGTTAACAGAGGCACAGGGAAGTTAAATAACTTGTCATATATATTGTAAGTAGTGGAACCAGGGTTAGAACCCAGAGAGTCTGGCTCTGTAGTCCACTCTCCTCACCAAGAAACTCAACTGCCAAGTTATCACCTCAAATACTGTTGGTGTATCTCTCTGGCACAAACTTCAGTTAGTATTGTTCACATCAGCCATTTGCAAGATTTCTGTACTGTGCATTGTTTCTTAGACCTTCAGATTTGATTGCTGTACCTCACTTATCACTACTCAAAACCTAGATGGGGTATTGATTTATCTGAAGATTATTTCTATCCTCAGTACAGACTGTTCATTTTTTTGTTTCAAGATAGTGATTTTTAATTATTTTAGAGCTGACCTCTTTCAGCCTTCTCATGGTTCTGTGTTTTAAATGCTGTATTTTACATTTTGCAAAGAGCACTGTTGTGGGCACTGTCTATAGAAATGGCTCACTGTCATGTGAGCCTTTCTATAACCCCAGGAAGTATTGTCATTATCTCCATTATACAAATGAGGAAACTTATTTAACTTGGAGATGTCAGCCTCTCTGGCTTTGTTTTCATCATCTGTAAAATGAGGGTGATGACAGATCTCCCATCTCCCTCTTGGAGCAGTTGTGAGGATCCAGTGAGAAAATAAATGGGTAAGCCTTCAGTGAACAGTTAAGTACTTATATGATGGTAACATTGGGAAGCCTGCTTAGGCTAAGGAGTGCTGCTGGAATCATGGATGTCATTGTCAGCTGTAAGCATTTGGCTTTTTCCCCTTTTTTTGTTGTGGTATTAGTTTGGTCTGGTATTCCCCTTTCCTTCTCATTTCCTTAGACCCCATTCATTGCTGAGAGAGCATAAAGTGATAATAGCTATCAATTACTAAGCACTTATCATGTTGGTATTTTATATTTGTTATCTCAGTTTAGTCCTAACAACAGCCCTTTGATGGAAGTTTTATTACCTACATTTTACAGATGTGGAAACAGACTTTTAAAACTTATATTGATTACTTAGAGTCATAGAGCAAGTAAGAGGCAGATCTGAGATTCAGCATGGTGTAATGAAGAGCATTTGGACTTCTTTCTCATCTGTGAATAGTGGATAGTAGCAACCTTTGCTGTGTTAGAAGGATTATAGAAACATTGTAAAGTGCTTACCACATAGTAAGTACTCAGTAAATGGCCGATATTATTTGTAATATTACTCAAATCTTATCTGCCAGACTCTAAAATCTATACTTTTTCTAGCTGAGCACACTGCCTACCTCTAAAATAATGCTATTCAGCAAGCCTTGGGGCCATGATGGTACAGAGATAAGTTAGACACATTCCCCCCTGCCTGTCAGATTGCTGAGTTTGGAACTTATCTGCCTGGTCATTTTTATTTGATGGATTATGGATAGAATCATATATTTTTTTGAACCACAATTACTTTTCTAGTTGTAGATCCTTTTTTTTTAAAATTTTTTTTGAGGAATTGGTATACTGTTTTCTTTGTGTTTTTTTGTTTTTATTTATTTTTGGCTGTGTTGGGTCTTCGTTGCTGCACGCGGGCTTTCTCTAGTTGCGGCGAGCGGGGGCTACTTTTCGTAGCGGTGCGCATGCTTCTTATTGCAGAAGCTTCTCTTGTTGTGGAGCACGGGTTCTAGGTGCGCGGGCTTCAGTAGTTGTGGCTCACAGGCTCTAGAGCACAGGCTCAGTAGTTGTGGCGCATGGGCTGAGTTGCTCCACGGCATATGGGATCTTCCCGGACCAGGGCTCGAACCCGTGTCCCCTGCATTGGCAGGCGGATTCTTAACCACTGTGCCACCAGGGAAGTCCCTGTAGATCCATTTTAACAAACTGAGAAAACAAGCCAAGTAAGAAATGAAGCAACTCCATGACATGTTTGATGACTGTTACTTACTCGTGCACAATTTCTCTCCCTTTAGAGATCCCAAGATTTCTCGCCTGCTGCTTGATGCTCAGTATCCAGTTGTTGCTGTCGACAGCTACATGCCTGTGATTGATGTGTTCTCAGGCCACCAAAATGGGAGTCTTCGAGTCTTTTTAGCTATGGGTTCTTCAGATCAGATAATAGCACTGCAAAGATTAAAGAATGAAGAAGGAACACTTCCTCCCTTCAACCCCAGGCCAGCCCATCTCCTGGACCAGCCATCTGTAGCATCTGTTGCTATGGTAGTGACTAAACACTTGATTGTTTACAAAAAACATAATCTTATTTTAAGGCTTAAAAGGTGATGTTTTGATGCATGCATATGCTGTGAAATGATTATCACAATCAAGCTAATTAACATATCCATTATTTTATCTGGTTACCTTTTGTGTGTGTTTGATGAGGACACTTAAGATCTACTCTCTTAGCAAATTTCAAGCACCGTAATCTCATTTTATCTTGCGTGTTTTAATGAAACCATTGCCCCAAATTCTTATTTCAATAGTGAAAGGCTTAACAAAAGAACATGCTTGCACTTCAATGCTTGCTGTAGCTCAAAAGAATCATTGGTATTTTTCTTTCTTTGTTTAAATGGATACCTGTGTCCCTCTGAGCTCCTTGAATTTATAAAGAAAATGTAATTGGACAACCAGATCTTAATCCTCTAATTTACTAAATTGCCTTTTTAAAAAAATTGAAGTGAACCTAAATCTACTCTAAAAAAATAGTCTTAATGAAAAAAAAAGAAAAGGTAATCTGGGGGAAAAAATGGGGATGGAGATGAAGAGTGATCCCAAATGTAAACCAGCAAAGTATTCTGTTTCTTGACCAAATCCATGTTGGAAAGTTAAAGTGAAGTTCCTTGCTTTTCTACTAATAACTTAAAAGTTATTTGTTCTGTACAGTGCTGTTCAGTTGAGAAAGCACATTCATATACTTTATCATGTTTATTCCCCTAACAACTACATGAGGTAGGTCATTGTCATTCTCTTTTTTAGGTGATGAAACAGAATCAGAGAGGTTATGTTACTCATCCAGGGTCACACAGCTAAGAATGGGAGAATTGGTGTTCAGACACAGGTCTTCTGACTCTAAGTCCACTGTATCATGTCCTCCTCTATCTTACATTTGATGTCTTTATTAGTATAGCCAAGTCTTAGTGTCCACACCATTTAAGTGTTATGGTTTTTAATCTGAATGACAAATTTGATGTCTCTAACAGAGAAAGAACTATTAAGAAAATACCTATTAGTAGGATATTGGTTTTTGTTTTTGTTTTGTTTTGTTTGTTATTGTTTATTTGTTATGAACTCTAAACTTTTTCTATTATATATTTATCATATTAGTAGTAGAAGTGCCTTCAGTAACAGTGTATTCACTACCTCCCCATTAATAAACAGTCTCAGTGTTATTCCTAACTTCATTAGAAATAATAATTAAGGACTTCCCTGGCGGTCCAGTGGTTAAGACTCCACGCTCCCAGTGCAGGGGGCACGGGTTCGATCTCTGGTCAGGGAAGATCCACATGCCATGTGGCACGGCCAAAAATAATAATAATAATAAATGAAAACTTGTTTCAAATATGTGTTCTTTATCCTATTAAGGAAATAGCCTTCTGTTTTTAGTGTACAAAGAATCAGGAACATCTGATTAAATTTTATCAAATGCCTTTTTAGCCTTTATTGAGATAGTCACTTTTTTTCCTTCCTCTATTAATGCACTCTATTACATTTATGGATTTCCTAATATTGACCCAGTCTCACAGCCTGGAGTAAGTCCTGCCTGATCTGATTACAGTGAACAGTTGTGAGATTTATACACAATGAAAATTAAGTATCTGTTCTAGTATCAGCCAATTATGCTTATTTCTTCATCTATTCTCAGACTTCATAGAGAAGCATGAATACGCTATACAAATTACTCTTTAAAGCTCCCCAGTATCTCTGTTTCATTTAATAGGCAGGGGACCAAGGAAATGGATTGATGGAGCACCACTTTGAACTCCTTATAGACAAGATTAAAGGGCTCGCCCCTCTTCAGGCAACAGTCTGGGGAGAAGCAGATTGTTATGTCCAGTACTACTTTCCAGTTCAAGACTCGCAACCCAGTGTGCTGAAAGGACCTGAGTTCCTTGAAAATGGTAGGTTTGGGAGATTATGCTTTCTCATTCTTGTGTGGCTCTTTTATTGAATATGCTTAGGAATTTTTTTTCCTGAGTCAGTTTTATGTTCCTCAGTATTTCCAGCCTTACCTGGGCAGTACAGGAGATAGCCTGAGTTTTTACTTTTCTTAAATTGTTTTTTAATTTAATTTTGATTTGATTTCAAATTTATGGAAAAGTTACAAAAATAGTACAAAGAACTTCTGTATACCCTTTACCTAGGTCCATCAGTTATTTACACTTTGTCTCATTTTGTATCATTTACATGCCTACTCACTCTTATCATCTATTAACATACAGTTGATTCTCATTATCCACTGTAGTTATATTCTATAAAGTCATCAAGAGCACTGAATTAAGAGAATACCAAACCATTGCTCCTGGGGGAAATACGTACATATACATATCTCACATAGATCATAATCTTAAATCCTAAAACAATTCATCCTCATAGATTCTATTTTCTTTATTTTACAGAAGAGAAAACAAGGTTCAGAGTGTTAATGGCTGAGGCCGCCCCACTAACAAGTGCCAAGGTTGGCATTCAAACACTGTCCAACTGGCCCCAGAGCCAGAGCCCCTGCACTACATTGCACTTTCCCTTGCCATCCCATCCTCTGGTCATCTCTGAGAGCTAAAACAAGAAGACAGAGTGTCACCTTGTTTGATCTCAGCTGGGAATGAGCAAGTTGGGTGACTCAAATTGTCTGCTATTCTGAGCATGTCCTTGAATAACCGTGAAAGTGCTGCCAGTATTGGTTTTGAGGTTCAAATAATGGACTTGTATCCGGGATATATTGATATAAAGAACTCTTACAAATCAGTAATGAAAAGACAACCCAATTTAAAAATGGGCAAAGGATCTGAATGGACACTTCTCTAAAGGTATACAAATGGTCAATAAGTACATGAAAAGATGCTTAACATCATTGGTCATTTGGGGGATAAAGATCAAAACCACCACAAGATACCACTTCACACTCACTGAGATGGCTATAATTTTTTTAAAAACAGACTAGGGCTTCCCTGGTGGCACAGTGGTTCAGAGTCCGCCTGCCGATGCAGGGGACGTGGGTTCGTGCCTCGGTCCGGGAAGGTCCCAGATGCTGTGGAGCGGCTGGGCCCGTGAGCCATGGCTACTGAGCCTGCGCATCCGGAGCCTGTGCTCTGCAACGGGAGAGGCCACAGCAGTGAGAGGCCCGCGTACCGCAAAAATAAAATAAAAAGACTAATAAGGGTTGGTAAGGAAGTGAAGAAGTTGGAACTCTTACACGTTGTCTACCAAGAAAGGAATCTCTTCTGTATTACCATGGCATCTCAGGGGACCAGAGCTGCTAGGGAAATGGACCTTGGTAGGAGTAATACAGTCAGAAGATACAGATTCCGGTTCCAGGTCTGTGACCTACTAGCTCTAAGACCTTTGGGTTGACTATGTAACATCAAGGTATCATATCCTCATCTGTGTAGTAGGAGAAATAATACCTGCTTTGTTTTCTTTACAGGAGTATTGTGAGGATAAAATTGAACAATACTGAATATTAACATACTGTAAAACTACATATAAAACACTTCTTTTATTTATTTATTTATTTAGGCTGTGTCAGGTCTTAGCTGCGGCTTGCGAGATCTTTCGTTGCGGTATGTGGGCTTCTCTCTAGTTGTGGTCTGCAGGTTCCAGGGCGTGCAGGCTCTGTAGTTGCGGCACGTGGGCTCAATAGTTGGCAGTGCGCGGGCTTAGTTGCCCCACGGCATGTGGGATCTTAGTTCCCCAACCAGGGATCGAACCCATGTCCTCTGCATTGGAAGGTGGATTCTTAACCACTGGGCCACCAGGGAAGTCCCTGCAAAGCACTAAGTGATGTGTTGGATTATTCTGAACTGCTTTTCTTTTCCAAAGGATTCACTCTGAAGCCTTTCAGATCTGCAACCACACTCTGCATTCCAGACCCCATCTTTAATAGTGAGCACCGTCATTCTCTCCTGTTGCCAGCTGAAATTCCAGTGCAAAGGCTCCTACTCAGTGCCTTCTCTGCACATGGGCTTGTACCTGGAGGTGGAGTCCAGTTTGAAATCTGGTGCAGGTACAGTGTGGAGAACCCATGCCTGTGCCGAGGAAGGAAGTGCACAGTCACAGAGCATCCTTCCCTTAATTAGCCCAGGTTGAATTATAAGCAAGCAAAGAGCCCCCTTCTTCCCTGTTTAATATTATTTGGGTTTGATAATGACTCTTGTCTAGATTTTACTGAAATCTGTTCAGTTATTAGGCTCTTGGGAGCAGTTGTATCTCATACTTCTAACCACTACTTACATTTGGAAGAGAAGTTTTAGTTTTATCTCCTACTGTCACTTAAATGTATCAGTCACCTTTTTTCTGCTTCTCTTTCTGCCTTATATAGTTCAGGCCCTCACTATATCATGCCTAAATTATTGTAATACCCTCTTAACTGGTCTCCCCACTTCTAGAATCGTTTCTTGTAATCCATTCTTCCCACCACCAGAAGAGTGGCTTTTGTAAAATATAATTCCACTCATGGCACAGACTTCGGCAGATTTCCAGGAAAGATAATGGCATGAATACAGATGTTTAACCTCCCCCTTTGCATCCTCACCCCCAAGAAACCAATTAAAATAATTTTAATGTGAGGAGGAACTAGAGTAGGTACTAACAGATCCTCATCACCCCTTCAAATTTGAGGGGCATGGGCCTGAAGCCATAGAAGAGATTGGAACTGCACTGCTTAGAACCACTTGTGCTGCAGGATGGATGCTTTCAGGAGTGGCAACTCCCAAAGGGCCAAGCCAGATGCAGATTCCTCAAACAGAAAACCTGTGAGAAGCTGGGCTTTGTCTTGAAGACAGGGTATAATTTATGGGGTTCTTCCTCCAAGTAATGGGCAGTAAATCCAGCCAGACACAACCACAGCTGTATACCAGAAATACAGAACAATCAGGCACCAAAGATAACTAGATACTGAAAGCTGATCCCTGGGGCAGAGTGAATCATTCATCCACCTTATTCTTTCAACTGACAGCTTGTGCTTTTGTGGCTTACAGGTACTATTATCCTAATGTGAGAGACCAGATGGTCGCCAAAGGAACCTTGCCATTATCGAGGATCTGTGCCATTGTAACCATGCAGCACCGTGAGGATGTGGGAATACAGACCTTTAATCTCCCTTTAACCCCCAGGCTTGAGAATAGGAATGAACTAAGGAACCAATCATCAGGTAATTGAAGACTAGTTTATCTTTCCCTAGCATATATAAATATCCCTTTTCTCTCGTAAATTAGTGATTCTTCACATTTTGTAGTACTTACCCTTTTAAGAATCTGATAAAAACTATGAGACACCTTCTCTTAGAAAAAGAGTGTAGAATATACACTGCAAATTTTGTATATAATTTTAGAAAATTCATAGTTATGTAGACTCTGTATATAAATGTTGCTTGTCTCATCTCACCTTTAACTTCAGCAAGCATTTGATAAGCCCTCATGGCATAAAACCTAAGTCTTATATAGGTGTACTCAGAGAATTATTATTCCAAGGCAACATGATGTAGGATTGGAAGAATATAGTCAGCATGAACTGGGAATTCACTGTGAGGGAGGAAGAAGTCAGGATTTAAAGTTAGAAGGGATTAGTTAGAATTTAGAGTTTTCAATTATATCCTAATGGTTCCAGCTGGATGACCCACCCTCCAGATACATCATGAATAACTAGAATTAGCCTTCTAAATCAAGTTACTGTTCATTCTTACCAGAGAGTATCTGCCCATACAAAAGGTTTTATCTTGCTATGATTAAGATTGAGTTGTTCCTCCTGACCCTCACTGATCAGCTTGTTCTGTTGTTCCTTAAAGCTTTCCCTGAAATGTGATAGAATTTTTATAAAAGGATGGCATGTAAAGGTGTTTAAGGTGGTGGCAGTAGGAGGGTGACAGAAATATATGAGTGCAAAAACCTTTTAAAGGTTTAAAAAAGAAGAAAGGTTAGAGTCCATCTCAATTCTATAAAAATAACTGGGATTAAGTTCTGCCTCTGATAGTTAATGTGATTTTGGCAAGCAGTTGAATCTCTGAGCCATAGTTTCTTGGATATAAAGTGAAAATAGTGACATCTGTTCTGCTTTATTAATCCTAAAGTACAATAATATAATGTGATTCTGACCACAGACAGATTGTTTCACTGCTAAGGCCCCATATTGTTCATTAGGATTATAGTGTTTATCCTCTTCCTTCCTTCCTGACTAGACTTGGGGTTTGGTAGAACAGAGATTGTTCCAACCAACCTTCTTTTCATTTTTCCTTTTGCCCTCATTCTTTAGGTTTACTGGATGTGGGCCTAAGGTACAGGTGTACTCCAAGGACAGCAGAGGGAGTTCTTGCAGCCCGAGCTGTCTGCATCTCAGTCCAGATTATCAGAGCCTGTGGTTTGCAAGCAGCAGCCAAGTAAGTTCACCTTAGAAAAGCAATTCTCAAAGCAAACCTTTCTCCACTGCAGTCCACATGATATGTGATGCCCAAATAACGTAAAACTTTCTTGCATACAATTTCCAGTTTATTAAACACAACTCTACTCTTTTTCTCTTAAGAAAGCATGTAGGAATATAAGTGAATAAATCACTTGCAAATTTTGCTGTTTTAACTGTTATTAGCAATTTAGTTCCTTGACCTTGTCCAGCGATTTTATCCTCTACCCTACTTACCCTCTTATTCCCAAGGTCAGACCCTATGCCCACCAACCATGCCAGGACCAGTCACCACTACACCTCCTCAATAGTCTCTCATGTTCAGTCTCTGAGTACCAACTCCTATTTTTCTAGCTTATTCCCCTTTAGTCTGTTTTCAATACAGAAGCCAGTGATCTTATGAAAACTTAAATCAGGTCTTGACACACATCTACTTAAAACCCACCAATGCCTTTCCATCTCATTCAGAGTAAAAGTCAGAGTCTTTAAAATGGCTGTAAGACCCCACATGACCTGACCCCGTTATCTTTATGACCTCCTCTCTTCCTGGTAGTTGCTGCTCTACTCACTCCACCCCAGGCACTGGCTTTCTTGTTACTTCTGAACACACCATGCTCTTTTTCCCCTCAAGGCCTTTGTCTTGCTATTTTCTCTGCCCGAAACACTGTTTCTATGTATAAACAGCATGGCCCTCTCTTCCCTCCTTCAGGTCTTCACTCATTCTTCTCTCTAATTTGGACGTTCTTCCTCCTTTTGTCCTCTAAACAAGCTTCTGTTTTCTTCAAGACTTTGCAGCCTTCCTCTGTCTCTCCTACATATAGATAGAATTGGTGCTTTGTCCTTTGTCTCTTAGCACCTTGGTTGCAGCTCATATCACTCTGTTTCAATTATTTGCATACATGAGTTTTCCTCACCTAGGCTGTGAGTTCCTACAGACACAGGTACTGCCTGAACTCCTCTCTGTCCCTGCCACCACATAGCATAGTTCCAGCATGTATCAGGTGCCCAGTAAGGAGAACTAGATCACGACCCTGAGGCAGACTAGCTCACTTTGGACATGAATTCAAGAAAGAGGCAAGTGCTCCTTAACTTCAGATTATTTACCTTTAACTTCATAGTCGCTAAATAACTAATGGGATTACTTCCGTGTGAGATCTGACGCTGAAGTAGCTGGTAAAATGTTCAGTCTAATTAATATTTTTCCTCACTAAATTCTCCAAATAGACTTTTCCGATAATTGCTTGAGAACATCTTAGTGTTAATGAGATGCCAGGGCAGTTTTTTAATCATATTTTCCCATATATTCAAACTCTTGATGGTTTCTCATTGTCAGTAGCAGTGGTCTCCTAATTTTAATTTTACATTCCTATTAATAAAAAAATAAAAATTTAGCATACTCTCTAAATATGTGTATACTTATTCATGTATAAGTCATCTTCATGTACTACTACACTAATATATACACTATAAAATATACCAGAGAGTAGTAAAACTTTAATATATGAGATAACAACTCTAGAGGTTTTAATAATTTTTTCCTATGCTCAAATAGTTTACCCTATGAACCCCCTAGATTGTACTCACTCCACTTTAGGGTGGTGGTCAACAACAGGATAAGGTCCAACCTGCTTGCTCAACGTGGCATTTAAGACCCTTCAAAATATCTTAATCTGAGTCTTGAAAGAAGAGTAGGAGTTAATCATAATGCCCAAGAAAGCTGAAGACTATTCTGGTCAAAGAGAAGAACATGTGCAAAGGCCATGGAGGCATGAAACTTGTGTATAATGGAGTACCTGTTCTGGGTAAGACCCAGCCCAGGTCAGAATTCCTAAACATGGTGTTAAATTAACTACTGTTTAATTGACAGAGAAGGACTTGGAATTTCGATACTCAGTAGACCTCAGAGAGACTGAGTAATGGATAAGAAACTTAGTTGCTTTTCTCTCTGGGAACTTACAGGGAAAGTCAGATTAAATGGCAGGCAGTTTTTTGTAAGTCCCGCGTTGGGTCTGTGTTGCGCTTTTAAGAAAAAAGGGCAAGAAGCCAGACCAGTACAATGGAGTGTCCTTGTAGTATCACTCTAGTAGGCAGATGAATATTGTCTCCCTCATATACACGTACACTGTAATATCAAGATTACTAAGAAAACACATAGTGACATTGCTAGAAGCCTAAACAGGAAACACATGGTTGGTTAGTGTTCTTGGTGGCCTTGTGGAAATGGTGATGTTTTCTAGGCAGTCAAGCTGATTTCTGATATTACCTCCTTCTCATTCCCACCCTTCTCCCCTACAGGGCTTTGGCTGAGCAGGAACCTGCTCTGCAGTTTAGTGCCACAGTCGGGGTCAATGCCTTTGTTACCACTCATCTGTCCTTCCTGCCCAAGGGAGAACAGCGCCAAACCCACCCTGTGGCCTGTTCCTTCTGCCCTGAGTTCTCCCATCACAGTGAATTCTCATGTAACTTGGTAACTCAGCACTGCAGTGGAGAAGCCTGTTTCCTGGCAGAGTTGTTGGAGTTTGCAGAAGTTACTTTTGCTATTTATCATGAAGATACCAAGTCAGGTGAGCACCAAATGACTCACAATTAGAATTAAAAAGGGCTCTGTTTTGAATGGTATAGCACTTCCTAGGAGATACATGCTGAAGTGTTTAGGGGTGAGGAGTCATATTTGCAACTTACTTCTGAAGGGTATAGCAGAAATATGTAGAATACGTATTGAGTGTTTGAGAGAATGTAGAGAGAGATAAAGCAAATGTGTCAAGATGTTAGTGGGTGAATCTAGGTGAAGGGTATATAGGAGTTCATTGTAGTATTCTTTTAACTTTTCTGTATGTCTGAATTTTTCAAAATTTAAGTGTGTGCATACACATACTTAATGATTTAATTAAAATGATTTAGAGGGCATTCAAGTTTTGACTGGAGCAAGATGATCTCTAATGCGTCTTCCAACACTGAAATTCACTGAGTGTAAGTGGAGGATTATATGGCTCTTTTGTAATACAAGCCCTTTGGTCAGTAGACCATCAAATAATTTCTCTTTCTTTGTTTGATTTAACAGCCAGTGATATAACCAGTATCCGCTCATTCAAAGATTATCTGCTTGGAGTAGTAAAGATTCCAACAAAAGATCTGCTGATCAAGAGATCTGGTAGGGATCCTGGATTATCACTTTCTAATTCTACCCTTTCCCATTCACTTCCCTGCAAGAGATCTTCTTGTCTGGCTCTCTTGCAAGATATGCAAAAAAAAAAATAAAAATAAAAAACCCCTTAACACATGCTTCTGAATTCTCCCAAATACCTCAAAGGTTTTCCCAAAAACATTTTAAGTCCTTTCCTAATCATTTCAAAGGCCTTCTAATAAAGCAAAGAAGCTCAAAACATTGTACTGTCATCTTACTCCAGGAAAGATAATGATGATGATACTATTTATAATAAATATGGCAATACCCATTGCATTATATAGCACTTTGTAAAATATTTTCTCAGATCTTTTTTGAGCTTCATGGTAACTCTTACTGATGGGGATACAGGATTATCTTTTTTTTTTTTGCGGTATGCGGGCCTCTCACTGCTGTGGCCTCTCCTGTTGCGGAGCACAGGCTCCGGACGCGCAGGCTCAGCGGCCATGGCTTACGGGCCCAGCCGCTCCGCGGCATGTGGGATCTTCCCGGACCAGGGATCAAACCCGTGTCCCCTGCATCGGCAGGTGGACTCTCAACCACTGCGCCACCAGGGAAGCCCCAGGATTATCTTCATTTGACAGATGAGAAAACTTAGGCTTAGAGAGGTTAAGTGATTTGTCAACCACACAGCCAGGTAGTAGAGTACTAGAAATCAAATCCAGATTTGCCCATTCTTTTTCACTATACCCTCCTCTCTCACTGAAGAAGGAATAAGGGTATGAGGTAAAGACCCAAAAGAAGGCACAACCACCAGGCAGTAGTCTGGAAATATTGGTCCCATCCTACATTTTACTAGTCACCTTGACAGAGTGACCTTGACCTCTCTGAGCCCCACTTACCTTATGGATGGAGACTGTTAATGCTGACAAGTCTACAAGGTAGAAATCAATGAAATAGGATATATAAAGTACCTGACAAATAGTAGGCACTCAGTAAATGTTAGTTTTCCTTCTCTTGCCCATCTTCCTCCCTAGGATTGTATAATCTAGTTTCCAAAATTTTATCACACATCTCCCAAATTTAATTGTGAATTGAAGTTTGAGCAATACTCAATAAACAGGTACTATGTGCCTGCCAGAGAGAAGTCTCTACAACTTGATATAGGGTTCAAGTCTCACTTCTGTCACTAACTGTTTGTGATCTAGAACAAGTCACTTCATCTCTCAGATCCATAGTTTCCTCATCTCTAAAAATGGAAATAATAAGATCTTTGCAAGATTATCGAAGCATTCAATGAAATTATACACGTGAAAGATCTTTGCACAGGACAGGGCACATAGGACACCTCAGTTTCCTTCCTTCTGAAACTTACTACAGAGTTTGTCAGAGAATAGGCACCATCTGAGAAATCCCACCTTCACAAATTAAATTTAACCCCTTGGAAATAAACCTTTTAGACAGTTCGGAATGTATCATTGGTCTTTATATTCAGAGTTATTCTAAAGTGAACATTGTGTTTTGTTTCTTCCTGCCAGTAATCTCAATTACAGAATCACAGAGCAAGAGGAATAATCTAATCCACTTACATGCTGAAGTGGTGTGAAATTTTTTATGTATTTGTACATTTTTCTGGGGATAACTTTCATTAGAGCCAAAGGGGTCTGTGACCAAATAATGTTAAGAAGCACTAGGTTGTGAGGAAATTAATACCCAAGTGATGAGAAATTACTAAAGCCAAAGCCATAGGTTCTTAGACCGACCAAGTCAAATGGAGTCATAGAGATCAACCTCCTCATTTCAGTGTCTTCATTTTATAAACGAAAACTTGGAAGGCCCAAAAAAATTAAATGCCTTTTCCAAAAATCATAACACCTTAAGTGGCCTTTGGCGAATTAATCTCAATAAGTCTGAATTTTCCCATCTATAATTTTTTGTGTGTGTGTGGTATGCGGGCCTCTCACTGTTGTGGCCTCTCCCGTTGCGGAGCACAGGCTCCGGACACGCAGGCTCAGCGGCCATGGCTCACGGGCCCAGCCACTCCACGGCATGTGGGATCTTCCCGGACCGGGGCACGAACCCGCGTCCCTTGCATCGGCAGGCGGACTCTCAACCACTGCGCCACCAGGGAAGCCCCCATCTATAATTTTAACTAATACAAAACCTTTCTCAGAAAATTGCTGTGAATATTATACCAATCCACAATCTATTTTACGTAATTATGAAATCCAAAAAGCTCAGAAAGTCAAAAGTTTTTTATTAACTCATTAAGCAGCCAAACCTGACCTCAACTGACATTATTTTCTGACTTAGGCCACTGCCTGATTATATAGCTTTATTGGAACACATTGTGCCCATTCATTTACATATTTTCTGTGTCCACTTTCTCACTACAACAACATAGCTGAATAGTTGCAACAGAGACCATATGGCCCAAAAGCCTAAAATACTTACTATCTGGCCTTTTACAGAATAAGTTTACCAACCCCTGACCTATGTGACCACTGACTAGTACATAATATTCAGTTTATGTACCACAGTATCTTTCTAAAATCTGAAAATTTTTAAATTCAGAAACAAATCTGACCCTAAGGGTTCTAGATAAGATATTGTGAACCAGGACTTCCCTGGTGGCGCAGTGGTTAAGAAGCCGCCTGCCAATGCAGGGGACACGGGTTCGAGCCCTGGTCTGGGAAGATCCCACATGCTGTGGAGCAACTAAGCCTGCGAGCCACAACTACTGAGCCTGCGTGCCACAACTACTGAAGCCCGTGTGCCTAGAGCCTGTGCTCCGCAACAAGAGAAGCCACTGCAATGAGAAGCCCATGTACACCAACGAAGAGTAGCCCCCGGTCACCGCAACTAGAGAAAACCCACATGCGGCAAGGAAGACCCAATGCAGCCAAAAATAAATAAATAAATAAATAAAATTTAAGGGAAAAAAAAAGATATTGTGAACCTATAATAGGTGGTGTGTAGACTTTAAAGCCAGCTAGACCTGGGTTCAAATCCTGGCTCTACTACCTGGTAGCTATAACGACTTGGGCAGGTCTCTTCCATTTCCTCATCTGCAAAATAGGGATTATTATCCCATTTAATCCTCAGAACTTCACAGGGTTATTAAGAGAATTAAATGAAGTTATATGTATAAAGCATAAGAGAATTTCTGACACATAATAGATGCTCAGTAACAAGTAGCTAATATTTTAAATTGTTATTTTGAAATCTAGTGCCTGGTCCTTGGTATGTGTTCACTAAGTGGCAATTCCCTTGGTGAAAGACCCGGGGCTAGACCCCAGATCTCCTGACCTTGTCCCATGCCTTCTCCATTGTACTCATAGTACCATAATAATATTTCACATTTTTTATTTTCTTTCAAAGCTCTTCCAAAATCATTATCTCATTTGACAATTATAATAATGTTGTCTGGTAGGCAAGATCAGCACTATTTTTCCCATTTGTCAGGTAAGGAAATAGGACTGAGAGAAATTAATGGCTTACCCAGACTGAACCACTAGTTTTGGGCTGAGCCAAGAAGAAAATGCAGGTCTTCCAGCTCCAAGCCTTTGTTCTTCCACCTGATCTCATTGTCTTTCAGTGGTCAGATGAAACAAACTTCAATGCACTGTGGGTATATGTTTTCTCTTCTGTCTTGGGCCAGGGTGATAGTGGCTATGGGGTGGAAAGTGGCTAAGTCTTTTTACTTTTAAAACAATAATTGAAGCATCTTCCTTTTCTTTCATAAGGGATCACAGGATGGTATCCTATCATTTTACCAGAAGAGGGGGCCCTGCCTCACGGCTTGGAGCTCATGCAGAAGATTGTGGGTGGTCTGGAGCTTTCCATTTCCTTCACCCATCCTGGAGACAGAGAGCGGGTGTTGGAAGCTGCTGAGCTATTGGGCTGGAGCTTTGAGAATAATCTGAAGGATTTTGTCAAGATGGATGAAGAGGAGCCAGCCACTGTTACCATCTCCACCCCGAGGCTTTGGCTGCCTATCCATTGCGTGCTGCTTGCTGGCCAGAAGCACATTCATAAGAATACATATTGCTACCTCCGCTACAAGCTGTACGATCATGAAGGCTTTTGGACCCCTCTCAAGAAACCTAAGGAATCTGCAAACAAAAAGCAGGTCATGGTTACTTTCAAGGCATCCAAAAGATCAGAAGTCTCTAGGAGCCCATCACTGCTTTGGTACTTCAGAGAGGAGAGGTTAGAGATCCAAGTTTGGCGGGCTTATGGCAATGACAGTGTGGAGAGGCCCCATCAGACAGACAGCTGGATTGGCTCAGCCTATGTGGACCTGGCCAGACTTGGGGAGAGGTCAGCAAGGACACTAACTGTCAGTGGTAAGTGAGGAACCAGGCTTAGCACTTGTGGTTTGAGCAACTGCTGCTCCATGACAAGCACTGTGTGAGACACCCTCTCAGACATTATTTTATTTGATCCTCCCAGCAATCCTGTGAGGTAGGTATGAAACCTGTTTTTCAGTCATGAAAATGGAGGCTCAGGTAGGTTGGGTAACTGCCCAGGGTCACATGTTAGTAAGTGTTCTTTCCATTATTGCATGTTGAAAGATTAATAGTAATTTAGTAATACTTCTTAAAACTACAGAGATTTCAGAAAGAGGTTTGCTGGATGCTTTAAGAAGGGCATTATCTAGTGACAGTATACCTTAGTGGAGTCTAAGGTATACTGTCTGAGATCTAAGAACTGGTGCTGAACTTTGTAGCCTTAGACTACATCCAAATTCATAAGGTTGTTGCACCTAACATAGTGTCTAGAACATTGTAAGCCCTCAGTTAATACATGTAAAATAAAAATGAGTGAATTTAGGAGACTACCTTTAACCACCTGTATAAGAGCCTATATTATAATCTAGAATGTTGGTTTTAAAATACACTGAAAAGCATACCTGCTAATGAGATTAGGATATCCTCTCTCTCTGGTCAGCACATCTTGGAATCATAAAATCTACATGGTAATAAACTGGTTTGAAAGGAGGAAGGTAACATTTTGCAAGTGGCACTATGGGTGCTTTTCTTTCAAACATTTGTTCAGTATTTGCTACATGTACTTGGCCCTGGGAATTCAAAGATGAGTCAGAAATAGTTAATGAGCTTATAGTCTAATGGGAGAGTAGAAGAGTAAACAATTACAGCGAAGTATAAGAACTGTGAAAAAGGTATTCTCAGTGGCACTGTGGGAGCACAGGGACACAACATCTCTTTGGTTCAAGGACAGCATCCCAGTGGAAGTGATGATGCTTGACCTGAGTTACAGAGGATTTAGGAGTAAGTCACGAAAAGGAGGAAAGAAGGGCTTTCTAAACGGAAATAGCGTGGGTGAAGGCACAGAGGCAGGAAGCAGTTTGATACGTTTTAGGTGCCATGAGTAATTTGGTACTGCTGGATCACAGGATATATAGGTTGGGAAATGATGGGAGATGAAGCTAGACAGCTGGGCAGGAGTACTATGTTGAAGGCCTCTTCTAAGCAGGAGAGTTTAGACTTTTTTGTGAGAGCTATGGAAAGCTATTTTAACGGCTTCTGAAGAGAAGAGTGACACAGCTTTGCTTTCTAGATAGATAAGGCTGGCAACTATAGTACAGATTGGATTGGAGACGGCCAGACTAGACTCTTTACAAACGTCATATTTATTCATCTTAACATTCCTGTAAGGTTAGTTATTTCCACCACTATACGGTTGAAGAAACTGAGTCACAACCCTATTTTAGCTCTGTTAGCCTTGTGCTCTGACCCTGTTGTTGAGCAGGTGGCCCAAGCTAAAGAAGGAGAACTGAGCATCTGGGTGATCATCCCAGATTCTCTGGTTCTCTCTGGACCCAGCAGGTATAATTCTGGCTCTGTTGAGCACCTCATCAAATGCTGTGTGCCCTGTTTTATCTGGGCTGGCCTAGAGTCACTTCAAAGAGACTACAGAAAAAGTCCCCGAAGTGTGGAAGGCTCACTTGAACTAAAGTTCTTAAAGACAGGCTTTTAACTTCACTCTGCTGGAGCAAGTAGGTTTGGGAAACTGAATATAGATTTAGGGATCAGAACTCAAACACAAATACCTCTTTTTATTGAGGGATACCAAAGGCAGTGTTCAACTTTTCAGATTGTCCATTCCCTCTTACTTTTCCACTCCCACCAGCTTTTTATCCTCTTGCCTTGAAGTCAGACCTCTCACTACTTTCCATTGTTGCAGGTAGTGATGGGGTGGGGGGAGGCAGTAAAAACTCTCACAGTGTGTGTTTCTTTGCAAATTGGTATATTAGGGCCTATAGCCCTGCCAAAGGAGAGAGGGCCACAAGCACCCTCAGAGAGCATCTCCAGGTTTAGAGAGTGTCCCTGCTTGCCTAGGCTTATCCTCCTTCATCCTCTTGCAGGTGTGTATCCTCTATTTGGACGAAATGCTTCCAACCTCTCAGGAGCTGCCTTGAGAGTTCATGTGGTTCTCTCCTCTCTTTCTTCACACCCTGGGCCCACTAATGAGCTGGACTCCATGGACTGCAGCAGCGCCAGTGAGTCTGAGCAGCTCCCCAGAGGAAATGATGAGCTCCAGCTCTCTCCACCACATGACCACCAGAAGTCTCCGGCCTCCACCCAGGTCCCCTGCAGCAGCACCACAGCTGAAGTCTGCCTGGCCCAGGAGGACCCTACTGCACTAGATGGAACTTTTGCAGTCAGTATCCTGGTAGAAAGAGCAATGCATTTGAGCTTGAAAGGTATGTTCTGCTCACTTATCCATAAACAGGTATCTGACTCCACAGGCTATGATCCTGTCTTCACAAATCTTTCTGATCATGACAGGGTCTGGAAGAATTGTTAATCATCTTAATCATAATTATATATCTCAAGCCTAAAGGTTTAAGCCAAGTGAAAGCCTTTCTGAGGTCCTAAGTGGGCCTTGTCAGTTATCCTAATTTTGCGTATCATAAATTCCCCAGTCCAGAAACTTGAGTATCAGCTTAGATACTTCTCTTTTCCTTCTCCACCATCAAATCATCAGATCCATTAAAATTGCTGTATCTCTTAAATTTCTCTTAGATCTCTACCTTCTTCTCCATTCCTTCCAACTCAGGCCCTCTTCATTATGTACCTAGGGCCAAGGGTTCTTAGCATTGAATCCATAAGCCCACAGGGATCCAAGGGTTAAAGTCAGGGTAGGTGAACTTGGATAGGAAAATAATTACATCTTTTTTTTTTTTTTTTTTTTTGGTACGCGGGCCTCTCACTGTTGTGGTCTCTCCCGTTGTGGAGCACAGGCTCTGGATGCGCAGGCTCATCGGCCATGGCTCACGGGCCCAGCCGCTCCACGACATGTGGGATCTTCCCGGACCGGGGCACGAACCCGTGTCCCCTGCATCGGCAGGCGGATTCTCAATCACTGCGCCACCAGGGAATCCCATACATCTTTATTTTTATTAATCTCTAACTAAAATTGAACATTTCCTCTAGTTGTGAGTGTAGGCAATAGACCCTAGTAATATTAACAGTACCTGTGATGTTGTCAACAATAGAAATCACAGGTATTTTCATATCACATTTTAGTTACTGCAGATATCTTGGAATATCATCTATACCTGTCATTACTTCAAAATTACAGTAGTTATTAAACCTACAGTTAGATCTTGTTGTGCATTAATAAAACTATAGTGATTACTATGTCACTTTTTTAATGTCTTGATAACTTACGCCAATATAATTTCATTTCTTTGTAATCTTATGTATTTTACAATTAGCATTAAAAATATATATATGGGCTTCCCTAGTGGCGCAGTGGTTGAGAGTCTGCCTGCCAATGCAGGGGACATGGGTTCGTGCCCCAGTCCGGGAAGATCCCACATGCCACGGAGTGGCTGGGCCTGTGAGCCATGGCCGCTGAGCCTGTGCGTCTGGAGCCTGTGCTCCGCAATGGGAGAGACCACAACAGTGAGAGGTCCGCGTACAGCAAAAAAAAAATATATATATATATATACACACACACACACACACACACATATATATATATATATATATATACATATACATATATATATATATTAGAAGAGGCCCATAGACTTCACCAGACAGCCAAAGTAATCCATGGCACAAGGAACCCCTGCCCTACTTTTTATTCAGCCTTGTAATCTCTCCTAAAATTTTCCCTTTTGCCATCACCCTTCTCTTTTGCCTGCTTAATTCCCACTCCTCTCTCAAGACTCAGCTCAAACATCACCATTTACCAGAGTTTCTCTGACATAAAGGCTGTCTCCTGTTTGCTCTCCTAGCACTTTTGCCCTTTTTATCGTAACATATATCACATGTACTAACATTGTTTGCATGATTTTCTTCTCCACTAGGTAGGGGCTGTTTAAGAACAAAGACCTTATCTCATTCATTTATTCATTCATTATTCATTCATTCAGCAACAAAACTTATGTCATATTTGCTATATGTGAGCACTGTCCATGGTGCTGGTGATAAAGCAATGAACAAAACAGACAAAATAGTGCCCTTGTGGAGCTTACATTCTAGTAGGAGTGTATTCAGCCCTGTATTTCCAGTAAGTTGTGTGTGTTTGTGACTTTGAGCAAGTTACTGTCTCTCTGTTGAATTTCTCATCTGTAAACAGCTGTGATTAACAGTTCTGAGGTGTGTGATGGTTCTGAGAGCCAGAAAACCATAGCCTTATGAGTCCAGAAGGTTTAAATATACATCTTCTGGTTTGGCCTCCCTACTCGGTTCCTATCAATTCTGTGTTGCCTCAGTTTTTCTGTGTATCCTTATTACTTTGGAACAGAAACAGAATTCATGCTCCTAGTAACTGTTGTCTGTCTTTCATTTCTATTTCTCCATATACACACTACAAACAGACATTACTTCCAGGATTATAAGCTTCTACAAAGACTCTGAGGTTCTCATCCTTCTCATAACCTTTGTGTGTCAGAGACCCTGAAACATTCTATCTCAGGACAAAATCTTCTCCACATAGTCTTGCTGTGCTGTATTAGAGATACTGAGGTCCATACTGTATGAGTCACAAAGTTGGGAAACAGTTTTTGCTTTTTTACTGCCCTACCAAAGCAGCCCATTTGTGACAAGTCTGATTTGTAAAAACTGAATTTTTTAAAAAGAGAAAAATCGGGCTTCCCTGGTGGCGCAGTGGTTGAGAGTCCGCCTGCTGATGCAGGGGACATGGGTTCGTGCCCCGGTCTGGGAAGATCCCACATGCCGCAGAGCGGCTAGGCCCGTGAGCCATGGCCACTGAGCCTGCGCGTCCGGAGCCTGTGCTCCACAACGGGAGAGGCCACAACAGTGAGAGGCCCGCGTACCACAAAAAAAATAATAAAAAATAAAACAACAACAACCAAAAAAACAAAAAAAAAAGAGAGAAAAATCAATACATGAATGAATTTAAGGAAAGCACAAAAAAAGCTTTGATTTTTTGCAAGAACTGTTTTGGTTTTTTGTTTTTGCATTGAAAATAAAATTTAACGTGCAAAAATATGGTTATGTTCCATTTCAGGGGTTGCCCCCATATTGCAAAAAGCAAATATACTTGTAACTTCTCAATTAGACAGAGTTACATTCTTTAAATGCAGCTTGACAATTGACAATAGTTCATTGAGCATCTCCTTGTGCCAAATTTTATTCTTTTTTGTACATTAATTATCTCATTTAATCCTTACCACAGTGGGGTTATTTTATGAACAGATTACAGTACATACCCATTTTATGAATGAGGAAACTGAAGCTCAGAAAGGTAAAATGACTTGAGTTACACAGTTAATAAGCTCTACAGAGCTGCAATTTGAATCCAGCTATGTCTGGACCTAAAACCCGTGCTCTTTCCTCTATACCATCCTGACTCTTAGGTATGAGATAAACCGTGTTTACCAGTTGGTCCTGTTTACTCTCTGTATTTAAAAGGGTGCTTATGTACTATACACCCAGTCCTGTGCTTATATTGCAAGAATGGTGGTTCAGTTCATCAAGTAGTAAATCTGTGCCAGGCCAGTGCCAGGTACAGAAAGTGCAGAGCAAATGACACATGGTTTCTGTCCTCCAAGAGCTGATAACCCAGATAAGGGGATTAGCAGCTACATGATTATTGATGTATAAAGGAGAATGCTCTAAGGACCAGAAGGATAGGTAGTACAATATCTAGTGTCTAGACATGCAGATGGCCAAGAAGCACATGAAAAGCTGTTGAACATCACTAATTATTAGAGAAATGCAAGTCAAAACTACAATGAGGTATCACCTCACACCAGTTAGAATGGGCATCATCAGAAAATCTACAAACAAGAAATGCTGGAGAGGATGTGAAGAAAAGGGAACCCTCTTGCACTGTTGGTGGGAATGTAAATTGATACAGCCACTGTGGAGAACAGTATGGAGGTTCCTTAAAAAGCTAAAAATAGAATTACCATATGACCCAGCAATCCCACTACTGGGCCTATACCCAGAGAAAACCATAATTCAAAAAGACACATGCACCCCAATGTTCATTGCAGCACTATTTACCATAGCCAGGTCATGGAAGCAAACTAAATGCCCATCGACAGATGAATGGATAAAGAAGATGTGGTACATATATACCATGGAATATTACTTAGCCATGAAAAGGAACAAAATTGGGTCATTTGTAGAGACATGGATGGACCTAGAGACTGTCATACAGAGTGAAGTAAGTCAGAAGGAGAAAAACAAATATCGTATATTAGCGCATGTACATGGAACCTAGAAAAATGGTACAGATGAACTGGTTTGCAGGGCAGAAATAGAGACACAGATGTAGAGAACAAACATATGGACACCAAGCGGGGAAAGTGGCGGGGGGATGGTGGTGGTGTGATGAATTGGGCGATTGGGATTGACATATATACACTAATATGTATAAAATAGATAACTAATAAGAACCTGCTGTATAAAAAATAAATAAAATTCAAAAAAAGCACAAAAATTATATATCTAGGGTCTAGAGAGTTTAGAAACAGAGAAATAAGACATGTCTAAGAAATCAGAACTTTTTAGAATGAATATGATTTCAGAAAGGTGGGAATGAAATTCTAGGTGGTTATCTCAACTTGAATGAAGATATTGAAGTGGGAAAGTGTGTGTTCTAGGCCTACTTGGAGCAAACATGGGGAATTGTGGTGGCAGTTGATCCTCTTTGGCTGAAGTTCTTGGTCATTACAAGGGATCTATAGAGAATCACGAAGATATAAATAAGAAAATTGCTGAACTGCAGCAAGGGCTCAACTAAGACTAATTGACATGATTTTAGAGTGGCAGTGGACATACTGGTGGCACAATGCTGACTTTTTCCAGCAGTGCTTGGTTTCCTTTCCCTTCCAATTGTAACATATGGCAAGCCATTCCCTGGGCCTTTGCTCATGAACCTTTCTTAGCCAGGATTCCTTTCTCCCTTCCCCAGTTACCAAATTCTCCCCAACATCCTGCTCTTCCTCTTAGGCACCCTGTTCCAGCCACACTGGCCTCTTTGCTTTTTCTTAAATGTATAGGCAGACTCCTGCTTGGGGCCTTTGAATCTGGTGTTCTCTCTGTGCCTGGAATATTCTTCACTCCTGGCCTGTCTTTACTGAAATCACCGGCTCAGCAAGACCTTCCTTGGTCACCCATCTAAAATTACAGCCTTTCTCCAACAATACCTGTCCCTCTTTCCTGCTTTATTTTTTCCTATGGCCTTTAAATAGTGTATTTTGTTTATTTTCTGTCT